GCTCACCCTGTGGTCTGTGTGGGTCCTAATGCCCCAGTATAGTGATGGGGACACTACTGTCAACAAGCACCGTCCTTCGGAATGAGATGTTAAACCGAGGTCCTGACTCTCTGTGGTCATTAAAAATCCCAGGATGTCTTTCGAAAATAGTAGAATTGTGACCTTGGCATCCTGGCCAAATTTGCCCATTGGCCTCTGATCATCATGGCCTCCTAACCATCCCCATATCTGCTGATAAACAAACCTTTTGTTTAATTCTTATGTTTTGTCCTATGGCAGGGTGTGATGGTGCTGCCAATGCTGAAGCCAATCCTGGAGGACGAGAATAAATATCGCACTCCATATGAATTCAATCCTGCTCACTGGATGAAAATGGCAAATGTTTGAAGAGAGAAAATTTAATTCCCTTTTCAATAGGTAGGTAATGATGAGGAACTAAAACAAATATATTCACACAAACATACACTACCGTTTAAAAGGTTGCGTTTGGTATTTTTAAATTTTTTTTTAAAAACTTATGCTCACCAAGGCTGCATTTATTAAAATACAGTAAAAACAGTAATATTGTGAAATATTATTACAATTTAAAATAGCGGTTTTCTAAAAACTATTTTCAAATGTAATTTATTCCCGTGATGCAAAGCTGAATTTTCAGCATCATGACTCCAGTCTTCAGTGTCACATGATCCTTCAGAAATCATTGTAATATGCTGATTTGCTGCTCAAGAAACATTTCTTATTATTATCAACAGTTGTGCTGCTTAATATTTTTGTGGAAACTGTGATACATTTTTTTTTTCAGGATTCTTTGGTGATTTTAAAATTCTAAAGAACAACATTTATTTGAATAAGACAAATTTTATAACATTATAATTGTCTTTACTGTCACTTTTAATGCACAATTTAATGCATCCTTGCTGAATGGCAGTATTAATTTCTTTCAATAATATCTTTCTGACCCCAGACCTTTGAATTGCGGTATATATAAACGATTAAAACATCTAATTTTAGCATACACTCGTTTACTCAATCAAATAGTGAACAGGTTTACTGATGCAGACCCTGATTTCCAGGTAAGAGGATGTGTCCAGGTGAGCAGCTCGCTCGTATGGAGCTCTTCCTCTTCTTTATCTCTCTTGATTCATTGCATTTTACCTTCCTGCCACCTGAGGGAGAAACACTGAGTCTCAAAAGGACAGTTGCCATCGCTTCTGCTCCTGAACCCTTCCACATTCATGCTGTGCCTCGATAGTGCCACACGATTGAAATCTAAAATAAAAGAATCTCCACACTGCTGAAGCACAAATAAACATTTGTTTCTTTTTGGTAACACATAGTATGAAAGATATGGCAATGGCATTTTATTTTAATTTAATACACAAGATTTATTTTATTTGCCCATGATTGATAATATATCCGGCATAATTAATTTGAAGAATGTTAGTTGTGTCTGAAATTAAAGGCAGCTGAATTGCTGTACAATCAATCAGTCAGCCAGTCAAATGGCTGTTTAGGATGCAAAGCATCTTTCTGCCTTGATGGCAACCAAAAGTAGCTATATATTCGGATACCTTATAACATAAATCACATATTTAATCATATTAGTAGATGATATACCTGTATGTGGACTTTAAAAGCATGCGTTTGACTTTTATTTTCTGCAGTCTTTGGCTTCACACCTCAGAATAATTGTTTGTGAAGGGTTTGAGTGCTTGTATGTTGATATGGCGCCACCAGCTTTGTCATGATATAATTTCCCTATGACTGCTGACTCATTGGTCACATGGCATTTACGACTCAGGTGGTTGGTTAAAAACGTCTTTTCTGGGCAGCTGAGAAACTGCCATCAAAATGAGTCAGTTTAACTCTGCGTTATGCAATCAGATATCTTTTTTCTATTTAACAACCAATGTATTAATGGATTTTTTTTACCTAAAGTAATTCGTTCATATTCTTACACAGCTGCTCTAGTTTCACATCTCCTGCACTCTGCGGTTGTCTCGGATAATAAAGTAACCTTCACTTAAATCAGTATTTTATGTCTGTGTATTTATTTGATAATCGTCCTTGTCCTGCTTATTGCAAGGCTTGTCGCAAAATAAACGCCGCCAGAGTGATACAAGAGACTTTTTGCTGTTTATTATGGGGTCATTTTGCCAGGTTGGCTGAAGATACCTTTTTTTTATCCCTTATTTATAATTGATTTTAATTTTAAGCAACACAAACTTCGATTTAGTTTGACAAAATAAAATGCATCAGTAAAACTGAAGTGTAATGTTTTGCTCTTTCTGGTCAGATTTTTATCTTACTGCAAGTACAGGTCCGTTTGTTATGGAAAAAACTAATTAATTAAAGGTAAATATCTCACCTTCCTGACTTTTTTTTTCTTGCAATTCTGCGTTTATATCTCTTGATTCAGACTTTTTTTCTTGCAATTCTGAGGAAAAAAGTGACAAGATATAAACTTGTAACTGTGAGAAGAAAAAAGTCAGAATTGGGAAAAAAGTTGCAATTACATTTCTGTGGTGGAAAAATTCGAATTTTTTGAATTCTGAGGGAAAATAATTCCGAATTGTGAAATGCAAACTCAGTTCCAAAATCAGAATTGTGAGAAAGTTGCACTAAACTTTTCCATATTTTTATTCCATGATGGATATAAGCTTCCATACTTTGTTGACATGTAAATTGGTGTAAAAAAATTATGTCTGCTTGATTAACTCTTGAAGATTCATTTGGACTTTGAAAATATGTGTGATTATAGACAAGTACTTATCATGAACCAAAGCTGTCAGTTACAGATATGGACAAATATATTTGTGCGTTTTTGTCCAGACCAGTGTTAAACAGAGTACCACACTCTTTCAGAGACGTCTTTCATCTTTCTGCAGAAATGAACCATTCACTCATGTTTTCATTTGAGATTTCTTTATACTTCGAGTTTTAATTTCCTGCTTCATTAAAAGATTAATCTCAATTCTTGACAGAAGAAACCTGAGGACTGAATCCTCACAGTCCAACATAATCACAGCTTTCTGTCAGTCAGTTGCAATGGCAGATGATCACAACCCGGTGTGCAGCAAGCGCACTTCCACTTATTGACAGGGAATGAGACAAACTCTTAATTTCCACAACGTCTACAGGATTCACAGTCATCCTGGATGACGCTCTTGACCGAATGATCATGGCATGATGTCAGGTTGCTGCAAGGGTTGTGCTGACAAACCGGCTTGACGCAGCCGTACACCTGCTTTCCACACGCTCCACTGTATTTACAGTCATCCTGCACGACAACAGCCTCACTGCCACAGCATGTCACACAGCTGCAAGGATTCTTGTGAACAGGTACGGAGCACTTCACTTTGCTGCAGTCGTCCGACTTCACTCTTAAAGATGGGAAACGGCCGACTTTGCAGCAGTTGTTGATGGCAGACTTATTACAAGGCATAGTGTGAGCTGAAACTATAGAAAAGAGAGATCGTGAGAGGATGACTGGCAAGAAAAAAACAAAAACATTTTTTGAATGCAATGATTATCTTGAGTGGAGTTGAATACTTACATGTTTTCAGTCCTTTTTCCTGATGGAGTTTGAATAATGATTTGCGTCTCTGTGTTTTTGTACTCAGTCTTGCTGGAAGCCACTCTTCTTTTCCTCTGATGTTTCTCTCCTCAGCAGCCCGGTATATATTCACATCTTCATCTCCACCCCGTCCACAGCTCAGAGCTCAAGAATTTTATTTTTCATGAGAGGGTAGGTTCAGTGTTTTAGAGTGAGTCTCACTTATTTACATATTTGATTCACTTGCTGTATGTAATTTCAGATTTCACATCCTATATCATTAAATCTCATACACCTCATTTGTCACCTATTATTCAGACAAATTAACAACTTTCATCTCGTTTTCATGACTCTAATCTGACAAGCATGATATAAAGCATATGTCATCATCACTCACAATGGCAAACTCAGCAGCTCTTATAAAAATCCTTTATGGCACAAACAAAAACAAGAGATGCAACATTGCAGGAAAGCAGTAACTGTGTGGAATAAAGATTTAAAAAATAGACATGCTTCGAATCGTGTGTCTGTGTGAAAAAGTGTAACTGTCAGGATGTGTATATGTATTGTGGATCTATCACAAACTTCACAAATAACAAAGAAACCGCGATGTACACACTGAATTAAACAAGAAATTAATAAGAAAAAAAGACTGTAATATATGGAAGTAATTGCGACTTTTTATCTCACAATTCAGACTTTGTTTCTCGCAATTGCGATAAAAACAATTACGAGATATAAACTCAGAATTCTGCCTTTTTTTGTAAAAATTACTTTTCTTGTAAATAAAATGTTTTATTACAACTTTGAAAAAATAAAAATAAACACTTACAGTGTAGATTCTAAAGTCTAATCGTCTAAATAAGAATTTACATTTTTGGGGGGGTTTTTCTACATAAGAAAAAAATCTAGAATATATGTAGTTTTAGTTTTTTATATAGTATGAAAACATGCAATTATTTAAGTGATTACTGCATTGACCATTGCATAACATGAAGATTCCACATGTGTCATTCATTAAACAGTTTTAATTACTTCTCATTAAACGTCCTTTGCCATTGTGAGTAAAAATGACACTTTCCTCTATGTAATGCTGTATTGAAAATTAAATCAGTGAGACTCATGATGAATACTAAAGTCCCTCCCATGAAATGAAGAATTCTTCACATTCTTAAGCTCTGAGCTGTGGACGGGTGGAAATGAAGATGCGAATATATATCGGGCTGCTGAGGAGAGAAACATCACAGCGAGAGAAGAGCTGCTACTAGCAAGACTTGCTTAGAGTACAATAAATCAAGACTGAAAAGGACTGAACACGTGTAAGTATTTAATTTGTCATTTATTACCTTTTAAAGATAATCATTGCTTTTTAAAAAGCTGATCAGGTTTATTCTTGCCAGTCATCCTCTCACGATCTCTCTTTTCTATTGTTTCAGCTCACACTATGCCTTGTAATAAGTCTGCCATCAACAACTGCTGCAAAGTCGGCCGTTTCCCATCTTTAAGAGTGAAGTCGGACGACTGCAGCAAAGTGAAGTGCTCCGTACCTGTTCACAAGAATCCTTGCAGCTGTGTGACATGCTGTGGCCGTGAGGCTGTTGTCGTGCAGGATGACTGTAAATACAGTGGAGCGTGTGGAAAGCAGGTGTACGGCTGCGTTAAGCCGGTTTGTCAGCACAACCCTTGCAGCAACCTGACATCACGCCATGATCATGCGGACAAGAGCGTCGTCCAGGATGACTGTGAATCCTGGAGACGTTGCGGAAATGAAGAGTTTGTCTCATTCCCTGTCAATAAGTGGAAGTGCGCTTGCTGCACACCGGGTTGTGATCATCTGCCATTGCAACTGATTGACAGAAAGCTGTGATTATGTTGGACTGTGAGGATTCAGTCCTCAGGTTCTTCTGTCTAGAACTGAAATTAATCTTTTAATGAAGCTGGAAAAATGAGGCCAAAAGTAAAAAGAAAAATAAAAACTTTTGAAAGTATGCACAGTGGATGTGAGTGGATTATTTCTGTAGTATTAAACATGCAAACATACGAATGTAGACATCCAGCTGTAGCGTCTGGACCAATCAAACACACAATATATATTTTGTTTTTATATTTAACAAATACTCTGTAACCCCCCTCAGTTAACAAGCCATATGAGGACCCATGAACCCTTCCCCCCAAAATGCGTAACACCCCAGAAAGCCGAACATCATTCAAATGACACTCAACAACCGTAGGATGACATCAAATGACCTATAAAAAGAATGGTAAACGGCAGCTTGGTTGAAGTGCACGGCGAGGACGGTTCGAAACAGGCTCCTAGGGGCAGGGCTAAAGTTGTGCAAAGCTAGAAAAAGTCCTTCATCAATGAGAAGCAAAGAAGAGCCAGGCTGAGGTTTGCAAAAGGCCATAAGTATTTGACCTTGTCTGATGAGTTGAATTTTCAGTTTTGCCCAACACCTGGTCGTCTAATGGTTAGACACAGACCTGGAGAGGCCTACAAGCCACCCGTTGTGAAATGTGGTGGAGGATCTTTGATGATCTGGGGGTGCTTCAGCAAGGCTGGAATTGGGCACATTCGTCTTTCTGAAGGGTACATGAATCAAGCCACGTACAAGGTTGTTCTGGAAGAGAAGTTGCTTCCTTCTGCTCTGGCAATGTTCCCCAGCTCTAAAGATGTTTTTTTTCCAGCAGGACAATGCTCCATGCCACACAGCCAGGTCAATAAAAGTGTGGATGGAGGACCACCAGATCAAGACCTTGCCTCTGGAATTATTTAAGAGGAAGATGGATGGTCAGAAGCCATCAAACAAAGCCAAGCTGGAGTGGCATAAAGCCACCCAACAGCAATGTGAAAGACTAGTGGAGAGCATGCCAAGACACAGGAAATCTGTGATTGGAAATCAGGGTTATTCCACCAAATAACTTCCTAAGTTAAAACATCAGTATTGTGTTGTTTGAAAATTAATATGAACTAGTTTTCTTCTAATTATTTGAGGTCTGAAAACACTTCATCTTTTTCGTTATTTTCGTTTCTGCAAATAAATGCTCTAAATGACCATATGTTTATTTGGAATTTGGGAGAAATGTTGTCAGTAGTTTATAGAATAAAACAAAAATGTTAATTTTACTCAAACACATACCAATAAATAGTAAAACCAGAGAATCTGATCATTTTGCAGTGGTCTCTTAATTTTTTCCAGAGTTGTATGCATGCACACACAAATACAAATACAAATATTCTAACAATATTCTCAATAGTTTCATGATATTGCCACACATCAATACCTGATATAAAAATGTCTGAATGTGGTCTGCTGTTAAAAAATTTTAATGGCTACTGTTGTTCTTAGATTAAGCTAATTCATTTTAATGTCCCCCAATATGTAATCCCATGTAAATATCATACACACCCATTACCAATTGTGTGTGTTTCTGTGTATAGTAA